GACACTGCCCTATTATCCATTTACGGTACGGTGAATATCCATTATAGTCCATTTACCGTAAATTCTTTTATTTACATAGTGCGTAGTTATATTGAATTAAGCGAACACCGGATGCCGCTGGCTTCCCTAAATTACATCAACGTTACTAAGAACCTGCTTGTCATTGTCGTTTCTCGGTGGAAAAAAAGAAGTTTATCACTTATCTTAGATGCGGTATACTTATAATTAGAGGAAGTGTTTACTTACAGGCCTTATTATAAGACATCTTGGCACGTCGTTAATGATTTTTAAACAACGTGAGGACATCGCAGAGTCTTGGTTTAATAAACCACTTAATTACATTCAATCAACTTGTGCTCTCTAAAAATAGATTGGCTCCCTGTGCTAAAGCCAAGCCAGCACTATATTAAAAATTTTCTGTACTTAATATGCATATAAGTAACTATTTATAAGTAGTTTCATCTTTCACAGTGAATTTTCAGTTATTTAAACCTTTGTTTATAATAAAGACTCGTTATATTTTTACCATCCCAAATTAAGTGGTGCATGTATGTAAGCACAAAATAATTATGAAATAAATCAACTGTTGTCTCCAATGATGGCATATTGCTTTATTTATACTAAATAAATATATTTATTCAGAAATATACTGGCTTAGGCTTAACTTTGCCAAAAATATATAACAGCGCCAAGAATCTTGCCTTTAATCGCCTTCAGGCCACAATTCTTGATAAATTTTCAAGAAACATGTAGGTACCACTAACGAAAACATAAGAAAAAGCTTCGAAGAAAAAGTCAGAACTTTCCGAATCCTCCTCATTATTCCTTATATAGGTAAGTACCCCTAGTCCCGTAGCTTACAAGGCCATCATAAAGAACACTTCACTTACCGCTGAAAATATTCGCACAAAGTTGTCAATAGCGTACGTGATTTATAAAATGACAACGCCATAACTTTAGCCAGCCTCCCACGCGAAAAGGCGCCATTCAAATGAATGTTTAATTTATAACCCGACTCTTTCATTCCCAGACAATTAAATAATAATGGATTTCGTTTAAACTGAACCAGTCTCCTACTCTTGATACCAGCGAGTGTGACACCATACAGACTGTAGGTATACAAATTATCTTCCTACTCATAACACTATTATATTGTTATACTGCATCACTTCAAAAGAGATGAGGAGGCAATAGAATGGATTCTTTCAAACGAGCACTTAACCTACATGCTTTTATTACAGTTATTGCAATGTGTCGGATATTAAGGATCAGATAGGTATAAGATATATGTGATACGCTCTCAGTTAAATAAAAAACAAAGGCTTTAAATAGAAGGATTAAAAATGTCATCTCATTTTTAATCGTTCTGTTTAAAGCCTTGGAGGATCGATTCAAGGAAATGTTGTGTACCGTATTGTACCAAATCTCAATATATGTAGAAATTTCCTATCAAATTTATTGACCTTCTAGGGTGAAAGTCAAACAATGATTGCTCTCACTGAGGGCACTATTTCGGCAACTAATTATTAGCATATAAATTGATTATTATTAATTATTACTTAACCTACATGCTTTTATTACAGTTATTGCAATGTGTCGGATATTAAGGATCAGATAGGTATAAGATATATGTGATACGCTCTCAGTTAAATAAAAAACAAAGGCTTTAAATAGAAGGATTAAAAATGTCATCTCATTTTTAATCGTTCTGTTTAAAGCCTTGGAGGATCGATTCAAGGAAATGTTGTGTACCGTATTGTACCAAATCTCAATATATGTAGAAATTTCCTATCAAATTTATTGACCTTCTAGGGTGAAAGTCAAACAATGATTGCTCTCACTGAGGGCACTATTTCGGCAACTAATTATTAGCATATAAATTGATTATTATTAATTATTACTTAACCTACATGCTTTTATTACAGTTATTGCAATGTGTCGGATATTAAGGATCAGATAGGTATAAGATATATGTGATACGCTCTCAGTTAAATAAAAAACAAAGGCTTTAAATAGAAGGATTAAAAATGTCATCTCATTTTTAATCGTTCTGTTTAAAGCCTTGGAGGATCGATTCAAGGAAATGTTGTGTACCGTATTGTACCAAATCTCAACATATGTAGAAATTTCCTATCAAATTTATTGACCTTCTAGGGTGAAAGTCAAACAATGATTGCTCTCACTGAGGGCACTATTTCGGCAACTAATTATTAGCATATAAATTGGATTTATAGCTTGGTCTGCGTTCGTGCAATGAGGTGAGTATGCTAGGCGTAGAACTTATGTCCAGCATACTCACTATACAAGACGTATATCTGTGGAAATATTAAAGCACCTAATTTAAATTTTTGCCACTATTTGGGCACTTTTTTAACATATGAATTATAGTTATAGTTCACATAGATTTCTGTGTGAGAACAAACTGAGTTTTCTGGGCGTAGGTATCTACACGAAAAAATGGTTGCCTGTAAAGTCGGTTTTACGGGCGAAGATTTTACGTGACAACGTCTTTTTCTCGGTAGAATATTTATTGATATGAATATAATTAAATTGCACAATAGGAACAAGGAATTGAATGAAAATAAGAATTGCACAAATTTTAACTATAGAAATATATTTTGTTTACTAAAACATTGTACATGTAAACTTAAACTTAACACGAGAGACTCATCGTAACGTTACCGAGCGTTACACTTTTTCATAAGTGACTCCCAGCCGCAACCTAATTTAAGACGTTGTCACGTCAAAATTAATCTTTTTTGAAGTCGGCAACGGAATATTTTGGCTCAGGTATTTTTCACTTTACGACTAGGTATTGTATGTCAGCAGTGACCCCAAAAGTTGTTATTTAGCTTCCTTTTGAGTTATTATTAATTTACAGTCTGAAAAGTTTTTTTTTTATTTGATAGCCCATATCTGAAAGCCTACTAAACTTATTTTATAAACGTGTAGATACTTTCGTTTCTTACGTTGAAACATAGTTAATTCAACAGGAAAAATAATTATTCCCGTAGCAAATTATATTCTAGTTTTAGACAAAATTAGTAATTAAAAATCATTCAGACAAAATTAGTAATTAGTAATGAAAAAAGTAATTGTAGTCACTAGGCATACATTAAAACATAGTACACTTACGAAATTTGAAAAGCTTGTAATTTCTAGAAAAGCCTTTAATTCAATACGAATAGAATGACTACCTCCAAACTTGTGGCATTGGAAAGCATTGAATGAATTTACACTGTTTGTTAAGTTATTAGTCCTACCTTATACCTTATAGTTTGCCCTACAAAAAATAATCATATAAGCAATCTGGGATTCCAAGTTATTGGACATACATACCTTAGAATTTTGGTGCAAGCATTCAAATGCACGCATAGGACATATTTGAATATTGGAGTTCCAATTTATGGGCAATAAATACAAGTTTTTCAGAAAGAACATGATTTAGGAAAAGCTATTTTTTTAAGAATAAAAAACCTGCTTTTCTAGTAAGTAGGTATTACAATCTCATAATCAAATATACTTACTTTAGTACTATGTACCTACTCAAAGAAATGTCATCCAAACTTTATTTCATAACAAAACTCCACGTTTTGTTATGAAATAATGCTATTAGGAACATTTCCTGTGGCATTAAGTCCGCCATTTGTAAAAAAAAACAATAAAGAGTAAAAATAAATAAATAAATAAATTTCCGCTTCATGACATTTACGATTAATAAAAATAAGATACCTATATTCAAAGTTTATTTTAATGCGAAATTTGTTCGTACACTCCCGTTATATTTCAGTTGCCTGAAATTCACACAAATAAAAGTAATTGTAATTTTTCTCATGTATTTGTTTTGTAAAAATAATCGTTCGTTATTAAGAGTCAGGCGTATAAACAAGTAAGCAAAAACACGCCCTGTTTGTTAGTTTAACTTTCATTTACTTGGATACGTAAACATGGGAATTTCTGTAATGAAACGTAGTGCCGTATAAGGAAACCTATAAAAAGTGGGACGCATTTCGACTCCATTTTTTCTATTTACACGAACCAGCTGCTCCATCTCTAGACCGGCTCGTAAAAACTGAATTGAACGTAATAAAACATGTGTAATTTTAATGCTTCCAGTCTCGCAACATTTTATGGTTACATTGACAATATCAGTAACCTACACATGAAAAGGTAGATTAAATAAATAAATATTTCTAACTCTATCACCAATCCACCTAGCCCCAAAGTAAGTACTGTAGGCTTGTGTTGTGAGATGCTAGGGTAACGGATAGAATACAGGCACAGGCACATCTGTTAAAAGATGGTTTCTGAAATAAAAACTAAGGACCTGCGCTAAGTTGTCCTAGAACACGGAGTGGACGTAAGTTCCGCGTGGTTGTTTCATATTATTTCATAGAGCAGCGCTGCGTGAGGCGGGTCTCCCGTCGCAGAGTTGCTGTATGTATGAAATGACATGAATTATATAAGTATATAATAAATACATATTAAACATCCATGACTGGAGCACAAATGCTCGTATTCGTCACACAAACATCTGCCCCCACCGGGATTCGAACCCATGGCCTCTCAAGCAGGGGACACCTTGAACCCGGCGTACAAACCACTCGGCCACGGAGGTCGTCAATAGAAACACAAACACATGCTTTCGTTAACTTCTTTAATTACAATCCTATACAAACATCAGCCAATCGAATAATTACTACTAGGTACATAATAATTTACAGTCTTTCCAATTTAATACTTTAAAAGTTGATTTGTTTTTATTAAAAAAGTAATAAATACGAAGAAGCAAATCGGTAGAAATGCGAAAATTTGGTATCATTGTACAAAAGTTACGAACTATTCAGAAATACATAGATCATAAATTCTATTATTTACATAGTGACGATTATCGTCTATATAACAAAAGGAGGTTCGTAGCGTAGCGTCTCCTAAGGCTACGTCTAAGACTTACAGATCGATAATAACGAGATCGTTTGGAGATTAATGTTAACTGAGGTTCATACCAGGTATGTTTGGACAGTGTGCTGCAAGACCACAGACTGAGGCTGATTGTGCCTCCCGTGGAAATCTGTAGACGAATAATCCGAATCTATTGTAGAGTAGATATGTTCGGACAATGGTCGGTCGCACGGAGAACGCTCTGCCGAATTCGCAGACTTCCCGCAAAGCGTCTGGCAAGTACTATTCAAGACGGACGCATCCATAGTGTAAGTATTAGAATTCCTCCCGTAATTAAGTCTTTTCAACTTCTGGCCATGCCGTTTTGACAGCGGCATCGCATAACGTAATCTCTCCCAAAAACGTTTCTCTTTCCACGTTATCTCCAAACCAGTTTTGAAGTACGACTTCAGTTCCGGATCTCGCGGTACGAGCCCTACGGCGACTATTATTAATTTATGTGGGTTCTTTCGAAGCGCCTTCTGGAGGGCCTGTCGAAACTCTATCTGTGACCATTCTGTTAAGATAAAATTCTTTGTCAAGACTACTATAATACGCCTCGAGGCTTCGGTGGCTTCGACCACCAAGTCAGGGAATTGGGCGTACGTCGCCTCAAATTGAGGCACGTCTCTATAATGTAAACACAGATGATAAGATGGATAACCGCTCTCTAACTCCCGAGCTAATGATTCTACGACGAACTCCTCGTCTTTAGGGCTGTAACAAATATAAGCATCGTAAAGCTTATCAGCGTCCTTAAATGCACCCGTGAGGGGAGAAAGCTTAATGCCGCAGTTTGAATATAACCACATTCTGCAGGCGTATCTAAACGTGAATACTAAAGCTAATATTAACAAAATGAGCATGAACCCGGTGAGAGCTGACGCAAGTAATGGCAAGTTATGGGATACGAAAAAAGCACTTATTACTGAGTTATCACCTAGTTCACTGCAAACTGTGACGTTTAAATTCAATGACTTTTTCGCTGGAGTCAATTTCTGATTGAAACACCACAGGCTACTCACATCGAAAACTTTCTCGACATTCTGTGACACATAAGTTAGAAAGCCTTGTAAGTATTTACAATCACAAGACCAATAGTTGTTACCAATAAATAGCGTTTGTAATTTCTTGTTATTATCTAAATGCCACAAACCATAATTTACGAGCCTGTTTCCATCCAAGCGTAAAACTTCTAAAGCACCGAGGGAACTAAACGTTTCGTTAGATATATACTCGATCACATTGCTTTGCAGATATAATTCTTTTAAATAATTCAATTTATAAAACTCTAACCCTCGCAGTTGTTTGATTTTGTTGTTATCTAAATGCAGTATTTTTAGACTACTGAGTGCACTAAAAGTATCGTTATGAATATGTATGATGTTACTGGAATTCAAATAAATAACGAGAGCTCCACGCATTGAATTGAAAACAGTTTCGTTTAGTTCAGTGTAAACATTTCCGTCCAAATAAATATGGGTTGAGTCTGTAGGAAAGTCAATAGGTACAGATTTCAATTGTTTTACAGAACAATCGACCACACTGGTGGATTTGGCTGAATCGTGATAACAAGAACAATTATTTGGACAAACTATTTTGCAATTACAGTTATTGAAATCGCAGCAACCGCAATCTTCGGGGCAATGATAGTCGTATTTACACAAAAAGTCTTTGAGGAGCAGAGAGCTGACCGGGAGGTATTTTATGCCACGCACGAATGATTCTTTGCATATCACGTTCTCTAAATCCATTACACGTGGATACTGTCTGGTTGTAATCGAGTTTATCAGCAGCAGCCACTTCATTGTGCAATCACATCGAAAGGGATTGGCACTAATATAGAACTCTGGCAACGCTTTATCATCAGGCACTCTCGAAATACGCAAACTATTTATGTCTAAACTTTCAATCTCATTGGCATACATATCAACCCGCGTTAAATTTCTCTTCTCTAAAAACGCATCCGTTTCTATACTCGATATTAAATTGTTATTTATAAACAGAAGCTCCACACTATTCGGTATCGACATTGGCGATAATGTAACTAAACGGTTATGACTTGCGTCTAAAGTTTTTACGTGAAGCTCGGCTTGAATTTTATAATAGTTTCCTAAGATTTCTATGAAATTGGCGTGAATATCCAACCATTTCAAACTGCCGGGTATGAAGGCATAGTCAAACCACACCAAATGATTTTCTGACAAATTTAGCCATAACAATTTCGTTAACGCCACAAACACTCCATTTATGTCAGAAATAAAGTTGCCGTCCAACCGAACGGCTTCCAATTGCGTGTTTCTTTGAAAGGTTTCGGTCTCAATAGATTGTATTTTATTTTTCGCCAAATTGAGCACTTGCAGGCTAGGCAGCCCCGCGAACATTCCCGCTGTAAGGTTTCCAATTTGATTGTCGATTAAACGCAGCCCGGTCAACTGTGATAAATTCTGAAATGAATTATTCGTTATTTCAGTTAGCAAATTCTCTCCCAAGTCGAGCGATTTCAAGAACGGTAATTGTAAAAGTGCTTCCGGAATTTTAGTCATTTTATTAGAACTTAAATCTAATTCTTTTAAGTCGGAACAATTTTTAAAAGCGTTTTCGCTTATGTATGATATTACATTGTTATTTAAATTGAGCTTATTCAATATAAACAGTCCATTAAATACGTGGTCTTCTATTACATGTAATTTATTTTGGCCCAAATTCAATGTATGTAAATTAAAAAGTGGCGAAAAGGCATTGTCCTCTATGGACCCAATGGTGTTGTTGTTCAAATTGAGTATTTGTAAAAAGAATAAGTCTTTGAACATGTTGCGTGTGACCCGGGAGAGCGTGTTATGCGACAGGTCGAGCACGATTAATCTTATTAGACCACCGAACGTTTCATCTTCTATGTGGTCGCTCCTCAATTTATTCGCCGAAAGATCTAAAACGAGCAATTGTTCCAACCGATTAAATATTCTCTTAGGCAAAGCTTCCAGCTCGTTATTCTGCATATAAATTTCACGAATCTCTCTCGTGTTATAAAATAACCCTTCTGGTAAATAATTTATAGCGTTGTCAGACAGATTTACAACTTTCAGTGATAGCAAATCATTGAAGACGTCTCCTGGCAGTTCGCTTATTTTATTATTCTGTAAAAATAGTTGTGTCAGCCTTCTTAAATGTAAAATTTCAGAGTCAGCTGGTAGGGACATGATATCATTGTAGCTCAAATCTATCATCTGCAATGTAGAGCCGCATTTATGGCCGAAGCCCAGTTCATCGACGAACTTGATCTTGTTTTGCGTCAAGTTGAGCGAAATTATATTTTCCAGTGCACAAAACAAGTCTGACGGGATCTTCCGGATGTTGTTGTAAGCTAAATCCAGAGTGTGCAATTCTCTTAGACCGTTAAAAGCGCCCAGCGTGAGTTCGAGCTCTTTATTATTGCTCCATTCGTTGTTCATGGAACGTATCTTCAAAGTCTTCAGCCCCCGTAATCCCTCGAATACATTACCGGGAAGCCGAAGGATCTTACAGTTATTTATAGAGATCTCCGCCAAACCTTGCATCCTTCCGAAGTGGTGGTCCCGCAGCGTGCTCTCGAGGAAGAGCGGGCTGCAGCGGATCGCGAGCCGCAAAGCGCCGTCCGAGTGCATCGAACCGACGACATCCCTGTCCGACGACAGCGTCCGTACATTGCACTCCACCGCACCACTCTCACCGGACACACGGAAACAAGCATCTGCATCGTCGGGCGCTTCCGTAAGCACCGCGCCCATCACTAAACAAAAGAATATCGCGGTAATTATCATTTTAAACCGCACTGTGTCCATATCATTTTCATCACTGGTCAAATGTCGGCGAACGCAAGTTTAGTTCGTAAATGGCGCACGGTCATGTTCAGCTGATCGCGATGCGAGCACCATGGGAATACGTTTCACTGACAATGGTTTGCAGCGGGATTGTAAATAGAGCGGTATGCGAGCGACGGCGCAACCACATGGTGTGATCGTAAGCACGCGTTCCCCCCGCGGAGGCAGGACCGCGACTGCCGCGTACAATGAAATGCCATGAATGCGCGCCGGCTACGGCCAGCCAGCGAACGCTTCTAGCTAGGGAGCAGACCGCACAATTTCTATTGCCGCTTGGTCGCATACTAAGTAGCCCCGAAGTTTTCGACTTCTGTACAAAACCGGAAACCGTTACGTGACTTTGTGTTCATATAAATTATTATCTAATTCATATTTTGGCCAAATACTAGCGCCAGACAAACTAACACAAACGATGTTTAGGATTGAATTCCTAGTGATCTATGTTTCTTAGAAACAATACGTGCATGGATGGCGCATAACACATTAAAAAAATCTAATAGTTTAAAATAATAAGCAGTTAAAAATAGGTAGCTAGGTACTAGTTAGGTGTTTAAATAAAAATATCAATAGATTTTATATTTAACTATAAGTGTAAGTAGATATTTTGATTACCAATATAATCTACATGCTTACCTACTAATGAACGAAATTATATTACTCACTAAAAGGCTTACTACTGGGTGTTTTACCCTATAGCTAAGAAAGATAAAACAAAGAGCGTACTCCAAAAAATATAAACAACAATTAGGTACTTAGGCGATATAATTTTACCGTTAAAATAATTTTAATGTATAAAAATTAGACCTTGTTTGAAATTTTTATACTTAAACTAGGGGGCGCCCGCAACCTGGTCCGCGTTAACTTTGGTTTTTTGAGAATCCTACAGGAAACTAATATTTTTCCGGGATATAAAGTATCCTATGTGTAAATCCTGGTCATAAACTATATGCGTACTAAATTTCATCCACATCCGTTCAGTATTTTTTGCTTAATTGAGTACATACAAACATACAAACTTTCACATTTATAATATAATTAGGATAAATGGCTTATGTTTAACTGATCACCAAGAATAGTTAATGACCACGAAAAAATAACAGTATATGATCTCCAAAAATACAAAGCTGCTAACCTAAAGTAACTAATTTTAATTTTATACCTATATATTTATCAAACATAAAACAAAAATCATTTATCCAGATAAAATTAAAATCAATAACTCATATGAATGTAAAATAAACCCTGTTAACGTCGATGTAGCCCGAAAGCATTGACCTAACAAGTGGCATTCAATAACCATTTATTTACCAATAAAATAACCTTACCTAACCGATTATACTATATTTTTGTGATCATTCCTAGTTTTTGGTAATCAATTAAATATTAACTATAATAAATAACACTGATGCTAACTGTGAACGAGATGATAATAAACACTAATGTACATACATATGCGATGATCTGCTGTGTCTTGAACCTGTCTCTATGTATATGTATTGTAAAGGTTTAATAGTTAAATACAGTGAAACTTCTTATAAAATAACATTGCTCTCACTACTCTTCTGTCTGACTAATATTGATTGACCCGCGATGGTATCCACGGTACGGAAAAGGGAAAAACATTATAATCCTCGACAAATGCAATGTTTTAAAAGAGATTAAGTTTCAAAATGTCCCAAATAAAATGAGGCAAGTGACTGAAATAAGTTAGGTTAGGTTAGGCGCAGTTGGTTAGTGGGTTGTGAGATTTACTATCGTGGAATTTCGCAATGACAGGTTATACTCATATAGGATGGGTGAACAAAAATTTTGTTATCTTTAGCTCTTGGTCCCAGCTGCATCCGCGTTCGTCAGCACCCAACAATTTACACTGCCGATTGGTGGTCAGTCTTACAATCGTCCTGCCTTGACATAGGAAAGGCCTTTTTGCTGTTCTGTGGGTAGGGCTGTGCCCCTACAGTGGAAACATGAATAGGCTGATGTAGATTTAATCATACTAATTTTGTTAATATGATAGTCCTCTGTTTCTCATACAGGTGTTACGTTTTAACGCCCAAACTTCAGAACCACGATACTATATTTGAAGTTTCAATTTATCTTTATATTGATATAGGGGGCGTCCATAATTTGTTGATGATTACGTGTGATTAGGCTTGCCAGGTGTCCGGCTTTAGCCGGACATGTTTGGCTTTTTGCGATCGCGTCCGGCCATATATGTACGTGTTTGGCCTGTCCGGCTTTTGTCAGGCTTTTTGTCAGAGTGGCGATTCGTACGACGAGGGGCGGACGAGCGTAAATGAGTTATTTTATTATAAATATCGAATATGCATATATCTGGCACACACTCCATCTTTGATCTCATTCTCACTTTACATCACGTATAAATATTTTTTTCAACAGCCCTGCTGTAAAAACATTATGTTTGGCAGTAAAAAAATATATGTCCGACTTTTAGGGCAAAATGTCAGGCCTTATATAGTGCACAGTTCGGCCTTTGTATTTTATGGCCTGGCAACCCTACGTGTGATGCTTAAGGGGGGGAATGGGTCGAGTCAAATATCATCTAATCTTACGTTGGAGAGAGGGGGGGTCTCGGCAAATATCACGCAATTTTTTTTCTGATTGAAACAAAAAAAAATATGCTATGTTGGTCCAATTAATTCAGATTGTACATGCTTACTAGTCGAAAATAAAAGCACGAAGCATTTTTTTTTCTTTTTACAATAACAATCCAACGCGTTTACGTAAGAAACCCACATTTTGAAAAAACTCACTTGAGATTGGGGTATGGGGGAGGGGGTTGAATAAAATCTCACTACATCTCACCAGGGGGGGAGAGAAGGACAGAAAATTCAAAAAAACACCTCACGTAATTTATGGACGCCCAATGATAAATTGAAACTTCAAAATGATATATAATAAGTATTTTATGACAAAATATATTTATTATATATATATATATAATATATCAAAATATATTTAAAGTAGCTTATAAAAAAAATAACAAAATACTAAGTTTAAAATACCTGAGTTACGTGTTTTTGATAACTGTAAAAAGGACATTGCTCGTTCCCCATACATTGAATGCCCTAGAATGCCCAGCAATGAGAAAATGCTAGTTATGTTCGGAATCATTCATAAACTCTAAATAAGCATTTGTTGAGATACGGACAACTTGAGGAACCGTGGCCTACTACAGAATGTATTAGATTTTGAGGTTATAATTATTATACTGAATCGTAAAAGATGTACACTTTATATATTCTGAATAGATTTAGTGTTTACCTCTATGTAAGCACTTAAATAATATGCATTAAATGAACATAAAATGCAATTAATAATAAAAATAATAAATGCTTATATTCATATTGATTTATGAGTGTTGTCAGTTGGCACCTATGATACCTATACCTACCTGTAGTAGGTAATGATAGATTTCTTTTCAAATGAAATGTTCAGTCTTTCCATTTACCTGTTTCTATACTTTACTATCGGTAATTAGGTAGGTATGTACCTGGTTATCATTATGATTTTCATAAAAATAAACAGATATTACATGGAATGGGAGTATAAACTATCTTTAGATAATTTCAGAAATAATCTTTTTATAAATATAATATAAATACTAGTAATAAGTATTATTAACTAAGGTACCTAGTTCTAATTTTATGTTGATAAATACCTATGGTCGCCTATATTGCATTACTAAGGTAAACAATCTTGGCACAACTTTTTAACAGAATCACCCATTTAATAATAAAATATTAACGAAGCCAATAAACTATTAAAATAAATCGTTATTATAGACTGAAACCTATTGAATCCAGTTATCAGTTGATTTTTAATGCTGTATATTCAATAAAAAGGAGTGCCAAGTTGGATGAACAGACTGTAGTATATAGTAACAGAACTTTTATTTTTTATTTTTTTAAACAGATTGTCCGTTTACTATGATTAATTGCTAATAAGTTAAAAAAATAATAGAAAGATAATAGTGAAGGACATTCTTTTGGGCATGCTAGGGCCGATTTCGTCGATGTCCTTTGTTATTAGGTATTTTTACCACAACTCTAACTAGTTTTTGAACTACCAAGTTCAACAAAAAACATTTTGTAGGTATTTTCACAAGCTATAAGCGCTCATGTATGCTAATTTATTTTAATGTTCTTATTTCTCAAAAATTTTGAGCTGAAATCGTTTCCATTTGCGAACTTAAACAAACTTTAAACGGCCATATCTTACTAAATTTTTAGCAAACAGAAATAGAAAAAGAATCCAATATGTTTAAAAAGAAAAATCTACATTCTCTTCGAAATGTTGCGTATCTTTCACAGTTTTTGAGTTATTTTTGAAGAAAGGCAATTTTTTGCAAATTTGCAAAAAAGCTCTCTTCACTTCTCACTATTTTTTTGTTTAAACTAAGCTCTTTAATCGGGTCAAACTTATAGGGAATATAAAAACTACATCAAAATAAATTATAAAGTGGTATGGTTATGATTAGTTTCAAGTGGGGGTTTATTAGGGGGTTATTTTTTTTTGTCGCCGAAATAATATGCAGCAATTTTGTCTTTATCATAACTTGCTTAACTTTCGAACTAAGAACTTCCATATAGAACAAAAATAGAGTTTTTTTTTTAAACACCAAAAAAGTTCAGTGAGTTTTACCCGGGAAATACATTGTTTTTTAGATATTTCAAGTTAAAACTTTCGATTTTGCCGTTTCATGACGAAGAACCAACCTTTAACAAGAACTAGTACTTCGTTAGTATTCAAAGTGGTATTTTTTATCTAGTATTTTGTTGGTTTTTTATGAGCTACAATTTTACTCCAAATATTTTTTTCATAAAATACTTATTTATAATGTTATTCATGAAAAAGTCATAAAACTTGAATAATTGACGTTTCCTCCCTTGAATACGTAGAAAGGTATTGCCTATTTGTAAAGACTTAATAGAACAAAAGTTGCTTAGAATTAGGCAGTCTATCTATTCACTTTCTTATTTTTAATAAAATATTTTACTTCCCCGAAAAGGGTTGGCGTCCACCTCCAGGGT